GCATAGGAGCTGAATTGTAAAGGATCGCAAAAATAAGCCTGTGTGTGCTGCTCAGACAGAGGAAGGGCATGACATGGGGCAGCGATCATTTCTCAAGGCCAAAGCACAGGGTGTTTTTGAAGATGGGCTAAAATATCATGTAAGAGGAATTAAGCCCACAGCACAAAACATGTCAAACACAATGCCAAGAAATTGTAACTTTATTCTGTATATAATGGGCAGTCATTGAAGGATATTTGGCAGGAAAATGAATTGACCAGATACACACATTAGAAAATTTCCTCTAATTATGTTTGGTGTTTATGGTCCTTTTTGTGTATCAGTCAATATGAGAATCTTGGTAAGGAAATTCACCTCCTGACATAACCACTCTAATTTCTTTATATTTCCTCTGAAATTAGCACACAAATAAGAACAACTCCCCATGTAGCTCTACATAGTGTTCTGATTATGAACCTTGGAGACTTCTCTGAATTTTTTTTTATTCAATGTAAAGCCGGGCACAGTGGCCAACTGTAATGCCAGCACTTTAGGAGGTTGAGGTGGGCAGATCACTTGAGGTCAGGAGTTCAAGACCAGCCTGGACAACATGGTGAAACCTCATCACTACTAAAAATATATAAAGTGGCTGGGCATGGTAGTGGGTACCTGTAATCCCAGCTACTAGGGAGGCTGAGGCAGGAGAATCACCTCAGGAGGTGGAAGTTGCAGTGAGCAGAGATAGCACCATTGTACTCTAGCCTGGGTGACAGAATGAGACTTTGCCAAAAATAAAAAAGTAAAAAATAATTTATTCTTTTCATTTTTATTTTTTTATTTTTTTGGTGGAGATGGAATTATGTTTCCCAGGCTGGTCTTGAACTCCTTGCCTCAAGTGATCCTTCTGCTTCAGCCTCCCAAAGTGCTGGGATGATAGGTTTGAGCCACCACACCTGTCCCCAAAAACTAACTTAATAGAAACTATGTAGTCAGTTCTTTTCATTTACGTAGTTCCCAAGGCCAGTTTTTAAGTGGATCTATATAGAGAAAATGTTACCATGGGAATTCAATGTGTGCTTTAAATGTAAATAACAGCTCATGGTAAAAATGATGAAAAATAAGCTCAAATCTCTAGTAATTATGCAATACTTACAATTATATGGCAGTGATTTGATGGTTCTATCCAAAGGAAATTTAGAATCAAACCCAGTTATAAAGGAACCAATTCATAGGATTGTAGTCCTGAATAATTATCCCATCTGTCCACAGGCCAGACAGAGGGACAGCCTGTTTTTTGGTTTTGTTTTTGTTTTTTTTTTTTTTGAGACGGAGTTTCGCTCTTGTTGCCCAGGCTGGAGTGCAATGGTGCGATCTCAGCTCACTGCAACCTCTGCCTCCTGGGTTCAGGCAATTCTCCTGCCTCAGCCTCCTGAGTAGCTGGGATTATAGGCACGTGCCACCATGCCCAGCTAATTTTTTGTATTATTAGTAGAGTCAGGGTTTCACCATGTTGACCAGGATGGTCTCGATCTCTTGACCTTGTGATCCACCCGCCTCGGCCTCCCAAAGTGCTGGGATTACAGGCGTAAGCCACCACGCCCGGCCAGCCTGTTTATCTATATTTCTTTATCATATACATATGTATTTATGGAATGTAAGACCACAAATAGAGATAATCTCTAAACTGAACAATACTTTGAGATACAATCCAAAATTCAAATAGTAGGCCGGGTGATGGTTCACACCTATAATTCCAGCACTTTGGGAGGCTGAGGCGGGCAGATCACCTGAGGTCAAGAGTTCGAGACCAGCCTGGCCGGTATGGCAAAACCCTGTCTCTACTAAAAATATAAAAATTAGCCAGGAATGGTGACACACACCTGTAATCCCAGATACTCAGGAGGCTGAGGCAGGAGAATCACTTGAACCTGGGAGGTGGAGGTTGCAGAGAGCCAAGATCGTGCCACTGCACTCCAGCCTGGGCAATAAGAGCACAACTCCATCTCAAACAAACAAACAAAAACGATGCTACAGCTACATTCCCTCTGAAGGCTTTAGAGGGGAATCCACTTCCTTCCCCTTTGTAGCTTCTAGAAACTTCCTGTATTCCTTGGCTAGTGGCTCTTCCCTTGTATCATTCCAGCTTCTTGCTTCTGTAGTCACACCTCCCACTACTCACTTTGCTCCTCCCGCCTTTCTCTCATAATAACCCTGAGATTACACTGGGGCCGCACACGTAATCAAGGCTAATCTCCCCATCTCAAAATCCTCAATTTGATAACAACTGCAAAGCCCCTTTCACTGTGTAAGGCAACACAGTCACAGGTCCGTGAGTTGGAACACAGACATCTTCGGGGAACCATTATTCAGCCTACCATGAGGTCTAATATTCCTGAAAATCTCTTATGTTGAATGAACCTTATTTTGAAGGTAACCAATCTGAACTTCCCCGAGAGGCCAAGCCGACAGTGCTTCACTAGAAAGGCCTCCTGGACCATCTCATTTCGGGCTAGCAAATCCTGACAGACTCTAAACATATATTGTTGTTCATATAATTTATTAGTACTCAGGAAAAAAGCAGTGGACACTAGAAAGAAGAATCGATTTATTCTTATTCCCCCCCTTATTTTTCCGGTTTTTGTTTGCTTCGGTTTTTGTTTGTTTGTTTTGTTAGTTTTGAGATCTCACTGTGTGGCCCAGGCTGGAGTGCAGTGGCATGATCTCGGCTCACTGCAACCTCCGCCTTTCCGATTCAAGCGATTCTCCTGCCTCAGCCTCTGAGTAGCTGGGACTATAGGCACATGCCACCACACCCAGCTAATTTTTTTGTATTTTTAGTAGCGACAGGGTTTCACTGTGTTAGCAAGGATGGTCTCAATCTCCTGACCTCATGACCCGCCCGCCTTGGCCTCCCAAACTGCTGGGATTACAGGCATGAGCCACCGCCCAGCCTCCCTTTGAATTCTTTCTTGACATACAAGTTTGCGGCCTGGGTCTGAGCATAGAGTGGCTTTCCTGGAACTCTGAAGGAACAGAATTGGGGGATCCAATCTTGTCATCTGTTGATCAATATCTTCTATGGTTCCCCATCACTTTCTGGACTAAGACGAAGGCCTGCATAGTCCTTCCAAAGCCTTTTGGGCTCTGACTGACGCCTATCATCATTTCTCCCTGAGCACCCCCTAGTGGTACTTTAGGCACTAGCGCTACCGAAGTCCTTTTAGTGTCCAAACACTCATATTCTCTCCTGTCCCTACTCCCACACACACCATGCTAATGAATATTGCTCCCTCTGCCTAAGTGACCATCTGACAAATGAACCTTGTCAGTGAGCAAACATTTCCTTTAATTTATCCCACCTCACTGCCTTAGTAAAATATGCCCTCAGTTTATGGGTTCTCCTCTCTATCTGCTCTACAGAGTCAGTGATTCTGTCATTATTCTAGCTACATAATTTGTGGGGTCCAGTACAAAATAAAAATGAGGGGTCCCTCTGCTCCAGCCTGAATGACAGCATCTGTTTGCCATGTACCTGGATGCGTCAGCCCCTGGGGAGCTGCCCCTGCCCCATCCTCTTGAGGCATGGTACGGCTCTGCATCCCCAATATCAAATCTGACTCCAAAACTATGGAGTGTGACATAGAAGTGACTGAATGCTTCTGGGGGAGCTGCGGGGGGCCTTCAACCACCACACAGAACAGCTTCATCAAAATGCAGCTCGCAATTTCTCCCCCAGGTGCCTGTCCCCAGCTGCCGGCCTTTGCTCCTTCGCTTCCAACATATCTCCAGATAAAAATCCCTCCTCCCCCTCTGAGCGATTCAGCTCTGCCTGCAGCTGGTACGTGTCTCTCCCCTGGAAAAACAAGAGCTAGGCAGTTTAGCCAAATGGCACTCCCTCAAGTCCGCTATAGCCCGTTTATTCACCCCACCACATACAGAGGGGTTCTGAGTGAGAACAAAATGTTCTGATGCTCAAGCCAGTGTGGGAAACACTCAGCCAAACCTTGAGATCCAGGGAGACTGTAGGTAGACAGCGTCCTGCTCAGGGACAAGGAGTGTGGCCCTCCTGCTGTCTGCTTCTCCTGCGCCCTGGTCAGGCAGCAGCTGGAGTAATGCATTCTAGACCTGCATTCTCGCCCCAGCAATCTTTTGTCCAGGGGGGCAAAAAGCCAGAGATTCTGCAACATGAATTCAAGGCAAACAAACACAACAAAACAAAATTCATGGGAAGAAGATGACTGCTAAGACATGGCAGGGGGGCCTGGAGGAGCCTCCAGCTCTGAGCCACCCTGGGATCGGCCACCTTCTCCTCCACACATTGCTCAGTTTCTGCCCCTGATGCTGCAGCCTATGGGGACTCCCTCCTTGTCCTCACTCTCAACAGAGCTGTAGCTGACTGTGATATGACTCTGCCTCCCCACATGCCCAGCCCCCTCACCCCAACATCCTACTGGCTATAGCAGAGAATACCTCTGAACCAAGATTCTGCTTTAATCATCACTTACATTGTTTTATTCCCAAAGGCTCCCTTGTATACCCTCCCCAACCCACAAAACTGTTAACATTGTCTTAAGGTGAAATGGCTGTAAAATCAGCAATTAATAAATTTATCTGTATTCCTCTTTCAAAAAAATGAGGGGTCTCTAATTCAAAAATTATTAAACATTTCAAGACAGTAACAGCAGAGCATTAAACTGAGCACAGGGTCCTCCTGAGCCCCATGCCATGTGCGACTGTACAGCTTTCACACCTATGACCTCAGCCCTGACCCTAGCGCATGTGTACTAAGGACAGTGAGGACAGAAACTGCATCTATGATCCAGGTGTTCTCCAGGCCTTGGTCAGTGCCCCCTCACCCCCTCTACACACACACACACACACACACACACACACAATGACATCTGAGTGGATGCACAAATGAATGAATGAGTAACGTTGATGATAGTTTTTATTCTACAGAAGACTCTATGTATGTAGTAGTTTCCTGAGGCTGCCGTAATAAATGGCCACAACTCAGTGGCTGAAAACAACAGAAATTTATTTTCTCTAAGTACCTGGGCATGGTAGCAGGCACCTGTAATCCCAGCTACTCGGGAGACTGAGGCAGAAGAAAAGCTGGAACCGGGAAGCAGAGGTTGCTGTGAGCCGAGACCACGCCATTGCCTGGGTGACAGAGTCTTCTGTCTAAAAAAAAAAAACACCCAGAAATTTATTTTCTACTCGTTCTGGAAGCTAGAAGTCCAAAGTGAAGGTGTTGGCAGGGCCATGCTCCCTCTGAAGGCTCAAGAGAAGAATCCTTCCTTACCTCTATCTAGATTCTGGTAGCTTCGGCAGCCCTTGGAGTTCCTTGGATTGCAGCCACGTCACTCCTGACTCTGACTCACCATCACCTGGTATTCTTCCCTCTGCGTGTATCTTCGGGCATCTCCTCTTGTTACAAGGGCACCAATCATTGAATTTAATGTCCACCTGAATCCAGTATAACCTCATCTTAACTATTTACATCTGCAAAGACCCCCATTTCCAAATAAGACCACATTCTGAGATTCCAGATGGACATGAATTTGAGGGTGGGCACTCACTATTCAACCCACTACATTTTTTTTCTTTTTTTGAAACAGAGTTTCACTCTTGTTGCCCAGGCTGGAGTGCAACAGTGCGATCTCATCTCACTGCAACCTCTGCCTCCCAGGTTCAAGCAATTCTCCAGCCTCAGCCTCCCAAGAGGCTGGGATTACAGGCATGTACCACCATGCCGGGCTAATTGTGTATTTTTTTAGTAGAGGCGGGGTTTCACCAAGTTGGCCAGGCTGGTCTTGAACTCCTGACCTCAAGTGATCCACCCGCCTTAACCTCCCAAAGTACTGGGATTACAGGTGTGAGCCACTGCCCCCTGCCTCAACCCACCACATTTATTAATAGTAGTGGGTTTGATATTAATTAAAGAAGTATTCATATTCTTCAGAATGCCTCCAGGGTATTTGTTGCTGATATATGTTTAACAATTGATGTGAATTGTAACTTAATTTTATTTCCCAAGGGAAACTTGAAGGATCCACATAACCATACAGGTTGTATAGAGGCATGTATAATAAATGAAGCATAACCTGGGGAACTAAAAATTGTTAGATGTGGTCATGCTGGAAATGTGAAGGGCAACAACAACAAAAATAAATGGGAAGATGCCCAATTTTCCATAGAAAAATTAAGTGAAATCTGGCTGGATAGGGTGGCTCACGCCTGCAATCCCAGCAATTTGGGAGGCTGAGGCAGGTGGATCATGAGGTCAGGAGTTCAAGACCAGCCTGACCAACATGGTGAAACCCCGTCTCTACTAAAATTACAGAAATTAACATAGCGTGGTAGCGTATCCCTGTAATCCCAGCTACTTGGGAGGCTGAGGCAGGAGAATCACTAAACCTGGGAGGGAGAGGTTACAGTGAGCCAAGGTTGCACCACTGCACTCCAGCCCGGGTGACAGAGCAAGGCTCCATCTCAACAAAGAAAAGAGAAAAGGAAAAATTAAGTGAAATCCAGGAACTGCGAAGTTTTCTGCCTGCATTACACAATGGCTTCCTGGGTTAGGGCTTCCTGTAGCAGAGCCCTGGCACCAATTCCCCTCCTTCTAGGTGGAAACTGGGGAAAGTCTAGCATGACTAGAAAGCCCTTGAGGTTCAGCAGTTTGCATAAATTGTTTATTAAGGGTTAGGAACGGTGCATCACTTTGCATATGTTAAGTAGATAGGGATCTCAGTCAGGCCCTTGGGGTTTTAATTAAAATAAACTTAACATTTGTTTTTCTTTGTGGAATGTTTATTGTTTTATTAACTGTTTAAGCTATCACAGAAGCACGGAGGGTTTAAGGTTTTGTTAATGTGTTTCCCTGTGAAAGACAGAGGAGAATGTTGGTTGGGTAATAAGAGGAATCATGTTTAATGCTCATTTGATAGTCAAATAGTTTAATATTCATTTGATAGTAAAAACAAGGGGCCTAGGGACCATTTCCCATTCTCCAGGTGCCCAGCCAGGTCACTTGGTCTCTTTTATTATTTATTTATTTATTTATCTATTTATTTATTTTGGAGGCTATTTATTTATTATCTTTGCTCTGTCACCCAAACTGGAGTGCAGTGACACCATCTCAGCTCACTGCAACCTCCACCTCATGGGTCCAAGCAATTCTCGTGCCTCAGGCTACCAAATAGCTAGAACTGTAGGCATGCTCCACAATGCCCAGCTAATTTTTGTATTTTTAAGAGAGATGGGATTTCACCATGTTGGCCAGGCTTGTTTCAAACTCCTAACCTCAAGTGACCCACCCACCTCGGCCTCCCAAAGTGCTGGGGTGAGCCACCACACCTAGCCAGGTCACTTAGTCTCTTAAGCACTTAGTCTGCTTTTAGCATGATAAGCAGAGACATAAAGGCTTTACATTGGAACTTCCGACTCACAGCCGGGCTCAGTGGTTAATGCCAGTAATTCCAGCATTTTGAGAGACTTGAAGATAGAGGATTCCTTGAGGCCAGGAGTTCAAGAACAGCCTAGGCAACATAGCAAGACTCCCCGCCCCCCCCATCTCTACAAAAACTTTTTTTTTTTTTTGAGACTGAGTCTCTCTCTGTTGCCAGGCTGGAGTGCAGCAGCTCGATCTTGGCTCACCACAACCTCCACCTCCTGGGTTCTCGCTGTTCTCCTGCATCAGCCTCCCAAGTAGCAAGGACTATGGGCTGGCGCCACCACACCTGGCTAATTTTTGAATTTTTAGTAGAGATGGGGTTTCACCATATTGGCCAGTATGATCTCAATCTCTTGACCTGGTGATCCGCACACCTGCCTCTGACTCCCAAAGTGCTGGGATTACAGGTGTGAACCACCACGCCCAGCCTACAAAAGCTTTTTTAAAACAGTCTCAGCTACTTGGGAGACAGAGGCAAGAGGATCATTTGAGGAAAGGAAAGAAAAACATGAGGAAAGAACAAACGAACGAAAGAACGAATGAAACAGAGAGGAAAGAGGGAAGGAAGGAGGGAGGGAAGGAAGGAAGGAAGGAAGGAAGGAAGGAAGGGAGGGAGGGAGGGAGGGAGGGAGGAAAATGAAGGGAAGGGAGGAGAGGGGAGGGTTTGTCTGAACCTTTGATTCAGACAAAAAAAAAAATCACTTCATATTCTGAGAACCTAGGCAGAGCCTGAGGCGTTCCGTGATCTCTGCCCTGAAAGGCTTTTCTCCTCCTTGCCAGCTCCCATCTGCAAAGACCCTCCTGGATCTTGTGAGCAGAGGTCGCCTCCCTTCTCAGAGATCTTTGCATAAGCCCTCTTTACGAGGACCTTGTACAGCCTCCAGGTTGAGAAGGCATTTGTGTGACCAGAGCAGTATCCCCTGCTCTGCAACCACCCCGCGGTGTTTCCCGGTGTTACTGTGCTCTCGGATGGTCTTTACCTTAGGCTCCTGTTGTCACTTGATTTCTAATAAACTGCACTGATAATATAGTTTAGTTTGGTGTATAAACTTCAGTGTACTGTGAGCCAATCAAGCTTATATTTAGCTAGAATTAACATAGGTCTCCCCTGGCCATCTTGACCCACACTGTGGGCATCCACACTGTCTTGTTCCACCTTGCCACCCTTCCCCTATTTCCTCCAAGTGCAGTAGAAAAGCCTGCAGCCCCTCAACCAACTGATCATGCAGTTTGTGGTGGATTTATCTGCAGGGAGCTGATGCCTCTCATCTTTTCTCTCAAGACTCATTTCTCTGAAATGGGTGGTAGACTGGAACTGCTTTGCTGCTCCAGTGTTGCCAAAGCCCCTTGTCTGGAATGCATTCCTCCTGTGCAGTCTCAAGGGCATTGTTAGGAAGTATGGTAAGATACTCACACCTGTAATTCCAGCATGTGGGAGGCCGAGGTGGGTGGATCACTTGAGGTCAGGAGTTTGGTTAACATGGTGAAATCCCATCTCTACTAAAAATACGAAAATTAGCCAGGCATGGAGGTGGGTGCCTGTAGTCCCAGCTACTCAGGAGGCTGAGGTCTGAGAATCGCTTGAACCCAGGAGGTGGAGGTTGCACTGAGGCAAGATGGCACCACTCCACCACTCCAGCCTAGGCGACAGAGTGAGACTCTATCTCAAAAAATAAAATAAATTGCAAGAAGCAGAGGTTGAATGACCTCCCTAAGGTCATTCCCTGGTAGGTGTCACAACTGATGCTCAAATCCAGGCCATCCCTCTGCTCATGACTAATATACCAGAATCTGTGAGGCATGTACTGTGAGTGAGCTGAATCTTCACTAATCTGGCATTGGGGAGAAGCCACATAAAATGTGCTCAGTGAAAATGCAACTCTGCAAGAGAAAAATGTCTGCCTGTTGCTTTTTTAATGGTTGAAATAAAATGATATATCTCTCACAACCAAGAGAAAGGCTTGGAGCCAGGAGGATGGCTTAGACCATGCAGTTGCTTCTGTGTCCTTGCCACGGTAAGGGCATTTTATCTAATGGACACGAACACTCCCATCACAAGAAAAGTACGTTCTCTCTCGGGATTTGGTCCAATTAATTGTTTTCCCAATTTAATCTTCTGCAACTCTCTGATACTGTCTTTCTCTCTAGTCAGACTAGTCTATTTACTGCCTCAAAACCACCCATTTCTGGGCCTTTTCTCAAACCAGTTATCTTCCTGGGATGTTCTTTTTCTCTCTCCCCTTATTAAAATCTTATCTTCCTTCAAGTCATTCAGTAACACAAGGTACATTTTAGGTTGTCTGAGATGTAGCTTGTGAAATACAGATTCTTGTGTCCTATCCCCAGAGATTCAGATTCAGACTTGCTTCAATCTTGGGTGATTCCAGAAATTAGCTTTTTAAGCATGCTCCCCAGAATCTGATGGCATGCGTGTGTGTGCATGTGTGCGTGTGCATATGTGTGTGCGTGTGTGTGTGTGTGTGTGTGTGTGTGTGTAGGTAGGTAGGTAGGCAGATAGTGGAATCATTTTGAGGGAAATTGCTTTGGTAACAAGAATTAAAACGATGTTTGGAGGCCAGAGGATCTCTGGATAGAAAGAGCACTTGAAGCCATCCAGTTTCATACTCTAAATTTTCTTGTGAGGAAACTGGGGCCCAGATAATGTAGCTCTGCCTTGTAAATTTACAGATGCAGAAATTGAGGCCCAGATAATTGAAGTGAGGTGCCCAGGGTCACACAGTTATGAATTGGCTAAGCTGGTACAGCCACAATCTCAGCTCTGTCTTTCTCTGACACCAGATATTCCCTAGCTTCCACAGCGATAAGCCCCAAACCCTGCCCTGACTGCATAATACATCACCATCACCACAGGAGGATTGCCTAGGCTGGGTTAAGACCCACATACTAGTTGCTTGGTCTTGTCCAAGTTACCCAGTCTCTCTTGGCCTCAGTTTCCTTGTTAATAGAACAGGTATAAAACTCAGCTCACAGGGCTGTTGATACAGTTTGGCTGTGTCCCCACAAATCTCATCTTGAATTGTGGCTCCCATAATTCCCACATGTTGTGGGAGGGACCAAATGGGAGATAATTGAATCATGGGGGTGGTTTCCCCCATACTCTTTTGGTGGCAGTGAATAAGTCTCACAAGATCTGATGGTTTTATAAGAGGAAATCTCTTTTGCTTGGTTCTCACTCTTTCTTGCCTTCTGCCATTTGTCTTTTACCTGATTGTGAGGCCTCTCCAGCCATGTGGAACTGTGAGTCCATTAAGCCTCCTTTTCTTTATAAATTGCCCAGTCTTGGGTATGTCTTTATCAGCGGCGTGAAAATGGACTAATACCGCTGTCGTACAGATTAAGTGAAACAGAATGCAAGTTTTCTCATGGGACAAGGCCTAACAAAAATACAGAGAATAAATGTATGCCTTGGGCTATATTTTGAAGTATTAATTGATATTGTTTTCTTTTTCCCAGCTATTCCTGTTCCCTTTGTCACCATGCATGTTTGTGGCCTGCTCCCTGCTTGTCACCCCAGGACAGATGTAACAGAAGAGAGTATAAACAGCCTGTCCATCTTCCTGAATTTTTTTCCCAAAAGCCTAATGCCCAGGATCAGGGAGGAATCCCAGGGACAAACTAAAAGTTTTGACAAGAAGCCTGGGGACAAAATGAAGAAAGAAAAATTCTGCTTGGGGTGGAGATTTGAGATTTGGGATGGGGGAAATGAGGGATGAGAAAGGTCTATAGGTCCTGGCTGAACAGAGAAGCAGGTCTCACATCCCAGCACAATCTCTGGGTTTATCTGGGTGGGCAGAAATACAGGAAGACTCCTTTGAAAGTTCCTTGACTCAAGTGCATTGAGGAACGCTTAGAGGCCATGCAAATGTAGACAGTAGTAATCTCAGCTGGCTGACGACCCACCAACCTTGGCATCATCATAATTTTTTTTTTTTTTTTTTTTGAGACGGAGTCTTGCTCTGTCACCCAGGCTGGAGTGCAATGGTGCGATCTTGGCTCACTGCAACCTCTGCCTCCCAGGTTCAAGTAATTCTCTCCTGCCTCAGCCTCCCAAGTAGCTGGGATTACAGGCACCTGCTATCACGCCCAGATAATTTTTGTATTTTTTGTAGAGATGGTGTTTCACTTTGGCCAGGCTGGTCTTGAACTCCTGACTTCAGGTGATCCACCTGCCATGGCCTCCCAAAGCGCTGGAATTACAGGCATGAGCCACTGCACCTGGCCTATAATCTTTAAATCACAGCAAAATCTCAGGTATCAGGAGGGCTTGCACAATATGGCCCAGCCCTCAGTGGAGAGAAGTCCAGCAATGAGGTCAGGCCAGGTGCAGTGGCTCATGCCTGTAATCCCAGCAATTTTGGAGGCTGAGGCAGGGGGGGATCATTTGAACCCATGAATTCAAGACTAGTTTGAGGATTATAGTAAGATCCTATCTCTACAAAACAAAAATATTGATTACTTTTTTTTATTTTAAATTAAATTTAATTTAACATTTAAACCACCAGTGTGGTGGTGCAGGTACCTGTATTCCCAGCTACTCAGGAGGCTGGGATGGGAGATCGCTTGAGCCAAAGAGTTTGAGGCTGCAGTGAGCTACGATTATACCACTGCACTGCAGCCTGGACAATAGAGCGAGACCCTGTCTCTCTTAAACAAGGTGTAGGGGGTTGGGGGGCTGAGGTCAGTTTTCTAACAGCCAGGAGGAAGGCAACCTTGAGATAGAAATAAAGTTGAATTATAGAAAATAAGGCACAGCCACTGCTTGTTCCAAATGTAGGGGCTAAGTGTTTACTCACAATCAAGAGAACGCATGAGTGGCCTGTGCAGCACACATTCCTCGCTGCACTGCTCGCTGGACTCCCTGAGCTGTTAAGGTTGGAGGAACAGTGCAAGTTCAGGCCCTTCTTCCAGCACCCCCATGCCATTCCCAGAACAGCCAGGAGCAGATCCAGTTCAATGGGGTGTTGAACCTAAACATTTGTGGCCCTGTTTAAAAAAAAAAAGAATACAAAATTACACATACAAAGTTAAAACAAAAGTGACCTCTGCTGGGTTCTGAAGCCAGCACCAGCACCTGGCTCCTGCTGCTGGCACCAGCCTTTAAGTGCCCACAGCCTGTTCCTGTGTGACAAACACACTTGCAGCTAGGCCCTCACTCAATGCCATCTGCCTCTAGATCGAGAGAGATACCAAGGACTCTAACAGCCGTGGTAGTCACTTCAACCTCCACAGTGCTTGCTGCCAAGGGCCATCAGTTGCCCATGTTCCAGAGCCCGGAGCCAACAAGACATAGCACCTCCCAGCCCCCCAAGCAGGCGTGTGCCCCACACTTGGCCCTGCTGGAGGGAGAGTCACAGCGTACTGTAGCTTAGTCACTATAATCACAAAAATGTGGTAAGTGATTTACAATATAAAGCAAGTAAACTCTACCTTCAGGAACATGTTGTGGGGCTGGGCAAGATGGCTCACATCTGTAATCCCAGCAGCTTGGGAGGCTGAGGTGGGTGGACCACTTGAGGTCAGGAGTTCAAGACCAGCCTGGCCAATATGGTGAAATGCTGTCTCTACTAAAAATATAAAAATTAGCCGGCCATGGTGGCACACACCTGTCACTTGAGCCCAGGAAGTGGTTGCAGTGAGCCAAGATTGTGCCACTGCACTCCAGCCTGGGCAACAGAGCAAGACTCCATCTCAAAAAAAGAGAACATGTTGTGGGGAGGATGGGAAAAATCAGAGCTTTTGTATACAACTAAACATAAGTTGTTATCAAAGTAAAACAGGTGGTAATAACTTCAACAGATGAATGCCTAAAGAAAATATATACACAATGGAGTACTATACGGCCTTGAAAAAGAAGGAACTCTTGTCATTTGTGACTACATGGATGAACATGGGGACATTATTCTAAGTGAAATAAGTCAGACAGAAAAAGACAAATACTACATGACCTAACTTACATGTGGAATCGAAAATAAGTCAAAGTGATAGAAACGGAGTAGAAAGGTGGCGACCAGAGCCTAGGGAGTAGGGTGGGGAGATGGGGAAAGGTGAGATATTAGTCAAAGGCTACGAAGTTTCAGTAGGACGGGAGGTATAACTTTTAATGATCTATTGCACATATTAGTATTAACTATGGTCACCATTGTTAATACTATGATCACCATAGTTAATACTAATTACTAATACTAATACACAGCTGCCTCGGTGCGGGTGCCTGTTTCCGTCTTGTGTTCATTGTTTCCTATAGGCATCTGCTACCATGCCTGACTAATTTTTGTATTTTTAGTAACCATGATCACCATAGGTAATACTAACATTGCATTTTACAAAATCTCTGAAAGAGTAGATTTTAAATGTTCTCTTAAAATAAGTAGGTGAGGTGATGGATATATTAATTAGCTTGATTTCATCATTCCACAATGTATACATATATCAAAACATCACACTGTACCCATATATATACATACAGCTATTATTTGTTAAATAAGAATAAAAATAAATACAGAGCTGACAAATATGACAAAATATTAACGTTTTTGGCTAGGCATGGTGGCTCATGCTTGTAATCCCAGCACTTTGGGAGGCAGAGGCAGGTGGATCACTTGAGGTCGGGGGTTCAAGACCAGCCTGACCAACATGGTGAAACCCTGTCTCCGCCAAAAATATAAAAAAATTAGCCAGGTTCGGTGATGTGCCCTTGTAATTCCAGCTACTTGGTAGGTTGAGGCAGAGAATCATTTGAACCTGGGAGGAGGAGGTTGCAGTGAGCAGAGATCACACCACTGCAATCCAGCCTAGGTAACAGAATGAGACTCCATCTCAAAAAAATTAAAAACAATAAAAAAAACTCAATGTTTTTTCTTTTTCCAATCACTTCAGTCTAGCTCTCAGGAAGCTCAATGTTTTTAAAACTTGGAATGTAAATACATGGGTGTCTATTATATTATTTTCAGCATATTTGACATATTTTGTAATTAAACTTAATGGTACCTTTAAAAATAAGCAAAGAGGCTGGGCATGGTGGCTCACACCCATAATCACAGCACTTTGGGAGGCTGAGGCAGGCAGATCACCTGAGGTTGGGAGTTTGAGACCAGCCTGATCAACATGAAGAAACCTGTCTCTACTAAAAAATACAAAATTAGCTGAGCATGGTTGTGCATGGCTGTAATCCCAGCTACTTGGGAGGCTGAGGCAGGAGAATTGCTTGAACCCAGGAGGCAGAGGTTGCAGTGATCCAAGATCAGCCATTGCACTCCAGCCTGAGCAATAAGAGTGAAATTCCATCTCAAAATAATAATAATCATAAGTAAATAAATATTTCCAAAAGAGAACTAGTAAGAGTCTACACCTCACAGAAGCCTTAGAAAACTTAATTAATATGAAGCATTGGAATCAGTGCCAGGCACATGGTAAACACTTTCGGAATGTTCATTGTTTTCCTCAGTGCCGCTATTTTACATAATTTTAAAGCTTTCTTTCTCTCTCTCTCTCTCTTTTTAAAATCTCTCCTAGAAGTCAACCGAGATGGGACAGAAAGGAAAGAAAATCCTGGAAGGTCTTCTTGAAGAAGGTGATCCTAAATCTGAATCCAAATTTTCAGAAATAGATATGTGTCTCCTGGGTGAAGGTTCAGGTAGCAAGAGTCTGCCCAGCAACCCCTCAACCCTATATTTTTTTTCTTTTTTCTCTTTTTTTGAGACAAGTGAGTCTCGCTCTCTGTTGCCCAGGCTGGAGTGCAGTGGTGCGATTTTGGCTCACTGCAACCTCCACCTTCTTGGTTCAGTCAATTGTCATGCCTCGGCCTCCCAAGTAGGTGGGACTACAGGCGTCTGCCACCATGCTTGGCTAATTTTTGTATTTTTAGTAGAGATGGGGTTTCATCACGTTGGCCAGGCTGGTCTCAAACTTCTGACCTCAAGTGATCCGCCTGCCTCAGCCTCCCAAAGTGCTGGGATTACAGCACCCAGCCCTGCCTAGCTCCACCCAGCCCCTTTTAACCTCTCCTATCTGACTCACGTATTTTCCTAGCTGCTGTTCTTTGCTCCTACTCTCCTCTCTGTCTTTCATGTAAACCCGTCCAGAGGCTCTGTTGTTCCTGGGGCCTTTCACACACTTCTTAGAGAAAGGCCACTTATTGGCTAATGTTTGCCACTCTCCCTCATGTGTCCTTGATTACAGGGACCAAGAGGTAAAATCAAACGATTTTCCAGCCTTCCCAGTAGTCAGGGGTGGCCATGGGAACCCATTTTGCCCTTGAGAGGCAGGCAGAAGTCCATGGGGCAGATGCTTCTTATGTCTTCCTGCGCTGTCTTAATTGCTCTGGAAGCCCAGAAGTGAAGCAGCCATCTCAAAACCACAAAAAATAAAGGGTCCCCTAGAGGCTGAGAAGGAGCCTGGTGGACTGAGGACTTCCCTTTGCAGCGACACCAGCCCTGGACCCCTTTAATTAAAAGAGATGGCAAAAACCGTGATTACTTTTGCAACAACCCAGTAAAAAGGGGTCCAGGGCTGGTATGGCTGCAAAGGGAAATGGTGTTGAGGTTTCCATTACTTGTTGCCAAATGCACTCATGCACCTGCCTATCCTGTCAGTAGGGGATGTTTAATGGAGATGCATGGACAAAAACCTGTGGGGCCCTTGAGGAGCCCTGGACATCACCTCCCTTGGAAGGCCAAGTACCACACATTCTTCCCCACACTCAGCTGCTGCAGTGTGGGTGCCTGTTTCCATCTAGTGTCCATATTTTAGAACTACACCACTGCTTTGCGACATGAATTATTTTTCTTTCTTTCCTTCCATCATTCATTCATTTGTTCATTTGTGGAAGGAAAATAAACTATCAGGACCTCGATTCAACCTGCCAAAAGGAAAGAAAAATGAGCCAAAAGCCAAGTCATGCAAGAAGCTGCCTTTTTCTTTGTTCCTAAGCAGATGCTACAGATAAAAGGCCAAATACCCTCAGCTGCTTGATGTCCTCCTTAGCTTATCAAGTGCCAATTTACTGAGCATGAGGCAAATACATAACTGACTATTCCCCTACCTGCTCCTTGTCTCTGGCAACATGTAGATTCTGTGATGTGACTGGAGCTTCCCTCTTTCCCCTTTAGATACTGAAGCCCACAAAAATCGTCTTTGGAGAAAAGCAGAGATCACAGACTGTTTCTGTGGTTTCAATGCTCCCTTCTTCCGGTATGTGCCTTACATTAGCTTCTAAACTTAACAAACTTCTAAATTGATTGAGACT